CGAAGGAAAGTTCGGTGTTTCGCTATATAAAAGTATGTGGTTTTACCCTTGGGGTCCAGGGGTCCAGCGAGCAGAGCCCCATGGCTAGGTAATATATACATTTTCTTAAAGCCATGCGGGTCCAGGTGGCGTAGCCCCTGGCTTGGAAATATATTGATTGTAGTGTATAAATCCCACAGGGTTAGGTTAGGTTGGTTTATTGGTTAGGACGCATTGTACGATTACCACGGGAGAACTAGATTATGTGAAATCCGGTAGACATTTACCGAACGATGGGTTTGATTCACGTAGTTTTTCGAAAGTTGGCGTGTCGGTCCGTAGAGGGGATGTACGTAAAGTTTCATTGGCCGGACACAGTTTAGCTCGGGTTTTCGATAAATCGACTTTTTAACGTTTCATAAATCACTCTCTTCGATTTCTGCAGGTTCCCTTTTGGAAATTAGTCTTTGGAGGGAGCGTCGCTCTAGGTAACAATTACCCTACCTTCTATTCATTCCCTAGCCCGAGGGGCAAGCCCCCTGTACACCTCCTTTATAAGCACTTCCTGCCAAATTACAGAAAACGCGATATTAAGGACGGTGGCTGTGTGTGGGTATTGTGATATGCTGTGGATAATTTCGTCATTTCACGGTAAATATGAGGTCGCTGCAGCTGTACCTGCGTTGTTTATTGTGTTGTTAACATTAACCTAAAAGGTATTCAGTACAGTTTCTGTATACATTAGAAATGCAATTTGGATTTACCTTATGGTGAAGGGGAGGGTAACTAGAAAGCGACGAGCCCCCTGACGAGTGTTGTGCTTCACTGAATGTGCTGTGCTTCACTGTTATCCCAGGTATTGTAACAATTTCATTAAAAATTCGTTTCCACTGGAATATTGGGAAGGAACACGGAGTAGCGCTGTTTACTTGTCAAATTTGCCGGTAGATGGCGGAATATGTTCAAATTGCGGAAGTAACAAGCAACTTCTATAATATCCGTATGATAGGAAAACGGACCCTAAAAGTTGTAATGAGCAGTCGCCCTTGTAAGTATTCAACCACAACAATAGATGGCGCCGGTGTACATGCCTTCTGCGATCGTTTTGTTTTACCCGCGAAATTTATTTTCGAAAACGGCTCGTGTTAGAGTACAGTTTCCGTAAAATCGAAAGCAGACCATCCCCAATTTGTTTATTACTTTTTTCTGGAAACAAAAGAAAATGAGTGTGAGCTTGAATACAACATTATTTGCGTTTGTCGACATTATTGACTTGTTTATATAGATGCCAGGCGTGGTTTAAGGCAGTTGGACATAAAGAGTATGCAGCAATTATTTTCCCCATTGAATTAGTGTTGGAAAAGGAACATTTAAGCTGCCTAGATGTGTAAATGTCCCAGGCATGGAACTTGGTTTTTACAATAGTCTTCATAGTATAGGGCTCATTGTACTGAAATTTCATAAAATTACATAGTGACTTTACATAATATTAAACCAATGATACTTTAGACATTTACATTTGGTATCATATTTGAATATAAGTCAATCGTTTGATAAAATGCATATATATATATATATATATATATATATATATATATATATATATATATATATACATATACATATATAATTGAGTGTAAATTATCTATGCTCATAATGAAGCATTTTCAGCCCTCCAGGTACATTTGGAATCTACATGACAAAATCCTTATACTGTAATTACAATTGTCATATTTATTTTATAATAATAATTCAGACCATGTAAAAATGAAAGAAAAAAAGATGATCTTGAGATCCGTCATTCAACAAAACCAAAAAAAAACACAACCTTCTCAAGCTGATATTGAAGCTGAGCACGGTGAATAGTGAATAGTTATCAGTTTTGAACGGGGCCAAACTCTAGAAATCCTGACAAATGAAAATATTAAGTACAGTAAATCATCACATTTAAGCTCATTTGAATTCATTGCCATTAGTTTTTAATAGTTCTTGCTGATGGCACTGGTTATCTTCCAGTAGAGGTAGACTACATATTGTACTATTACTTCTGCAAATAATTGGGATTATGGTATATAATATAAATTTTCTCTTTGCGTTTAAGCATTAATTGAAACATATTTCCACTGGGTTTTACAAATACAATATACATGTGCTACATATTCCATTTCTCAGACAGTAGCATCAGCATTTATTTATTTAATTTGCATTTCTTTGAACACATCGCCGCACCATGGGTCAGAATGCTTTATTCAGATACACACATTATTTGCATATAGCAACAATGAGCAATGTACTAGCACTGAGGAAGCACCTAGTAAGTAATTTAATGAGGACTGAAAGGTAATATCTATGAATAACTTGTAATTTGTGTTACATGCAATTATTTGCAGTTTTACACGTTTTAAACATGTGTCTTGCTGTCATCTTGCAGATAAGACTGAGTTAGGCCTGAGTCCACTTCTCCCACAAAATAAACTTATAAAGTATCTAGGACTATTTATCGTTCTTGTTATAATATGTACACAGAACTGCATTGAAAGCACAGACAATTTATAAGAGATGAGACACAATGATTGGTCTGACGTCACGAGTTATAAGCGCGAACAGTTTATACTGCGTTCAAGCGCAGGTAAGTTGTTTGCTTCGAGGCAAGCGAAGGCTGAACATAATCTTCGCGTACATTTTCGTCGATTTCCTCGTATCGGTTCACACCTGCAGTGAAAGTGTGGCAGCTCAATTTAAAAAAATGCGAATGAAAATGTTTTAAAAGATTATGTTGTAAAAGTTGAACATAGACGGGTATTGGAACTCGGTTGTTTACTTAACGGCCTAACAGCATCAGACCCTACTGTAGGACTTTGGAGGTAAATTACATTCTTTGCAGTAGGTTATTTAGCCTATCATTACAGTTATGTTTTATAAGCTTGCTAACATTTAAAGATGTTCTTTAACTTAATCAATTGTGTGAATTGTTGTTCCGTTTTACATTGGACCAAATTCCACCAAAAAAGGGCGAGGCCGCAGCGACATATAGACTAGTACCGATATTGATGTAGCTTTTCTGTGTTAACAAGACTTATCTTTGATCTTCTTCTAAATGGCGCAGTTCTTTGTATATTTCAATCTGTGTGAGTATAAAAACAACTTTTATTAGAAATAATTCAGAACTCAGTTAATCATTTTCGCCAGTTATTATTATTATTATTATTTTTATTTGCTGTATACAAGTTATAGAGTAACCTTTTTAGTTTACTATCAAACATCATACGTTTTCTGTATAGAAAAGAAAAAGGTTATCAAGGTAAACTCTTGTAATCTTGAGCAGAAGTCAATAGATTCACATACTACGTGTATATATATATATATATATATATATGTATATATATATATATATATATATATATATATATATATATATATATATATATATATATATATATATATGAAATATTTTTAGTATAAACCGAGGACTTAATGTTTTACCAGAGAATCAAAATTTACCACATAAAGACTGGATTCTCTGCGTTTCTTTTAATAGAATCGGCTAAGAGAATGAAAAGCAAATACAAATTGTATGATTTGATATATCTAGTGAAATGATTTGTTAACATGAATTTTTTTTTAGAAGTTATGGACAGTAAAAAGCATGTCTTTCATATTGCCCATCAACGACTTCATGGCTTGATTGTTACCAGCTGATGACCAGTAATATGTTGTCTTAGAAGTTAAATGGCGTCGCGAGATTCTTAGAGCCTGAAGCTGGTTGACCAAGTGTAATGATATAACACTAAAATATACAGAATTGCTGCTCTTTGAATATGCCATATGCCATTACTGGAATTTACTAAAATGTGATGGCTATAGTAATGATGTAGGTACTATGCATATGTGTGTGTGTGTGTGTGTGTGTGTGTGTGTGTGTGTGTGTGTGTGTGTGTGTGTGTGTGTGTGTGTGTGTGTGTGTGTGTGTGTACACATACATATTTAAGTCCATATGTCATTTTCAGTAGACAGATAAAATATTTTACAGCTACAGAAAGTAACAGTTACAGTTACAGTTTATTAATTTATATTTGCAAGCCTTAATATGGAGGAAAAAAATTAGAAACTGGCTTAGGAGGAATGATTTAAACACCAGCAATGGTGAATGTCTTCATTTATTAAACAATCAGTAATAATATATATATATATATTTTTTGCATTGGTTATTTTTTGGAAGCACCACAGTAAAAATATTAAATGTATTTTTCGTTATTTTGCATCCCTAACACTTTGATACATTGTTTGAAATTATATCATGGTCGCTACAAAATACGATATCATCAAAGTTTGCACTGGAATACAAAGCTTTGAGAAAAGGGTGAAATAATTTTCTTAATTTCACATTTAAAAGTCAATAGAAAAATAAATTAAGTACTTAATATGCTGGTATGATTTCAATTGCAATAAAAAATTGTGGAAGTCTTGTTTATTCATGCTATCCTATTACATACATTGCTCTTCATATAAAAAGTGAAAGTGGCATGAGGTTTTACATTTTATCAACAAATAAAAACGCAGCTTTTGTATATGTATATATATATATGTATATGTATATGTATATACATATATATATATATATATATATATATATATATATATATATATATATATATATATGTATATGAATATAGATATCTATATGAATATATATGTATGTAATATATATGTATGTATGTATGTATATATATATATATATATATATATATATATATATATATATATATATATATGAATAGAGACATCTATGTGCATATATGTTATATATATGTGTGTGTGTGTGTGTGTGTGTGTGTGTGTGTGTGTGTGTGTGTGTGTGTGTGTGTGTGTGTGTGTGTGTGTGTGCACTCAAAGACGCATATGTTTATATTTGTCATGGTAACAATCATGACAAAGTGTATTAATTGAATATTTGTTTAACGGGACCAAATATCCATGCATTACCTTCAACTCTTTAGGAAGGGTTATATGAGGACCAAGAAAATAACAGGAGTGTTTTTATTCAAAAGTATAATTTGGTTGATGTTGATATATAACAATGCTAAGTTTAAACTTGGTGCAGTAAAAGTTCACACACACACACACACACACACACACACACACACACACACACACACACACACACACACACACACACACACACACACACACACATTTCATAAAGCTTTTGGTGTATGCGTATGCATTCTTGTTGATTTTGGCTGTTTGATGATGATGGGATTCCATTGTGACTAGTTTCCATTCCAGAGGCTTCGGAGGACAGCCCAGGTCTTCAGAGTAAACGGCGAAGAGAAACAAACTAGAGGACACAGATGTACCCACGCACGCAGACACAGACACACACACACACACACACACACACACACACACACACACACACACACACACACACACACACACACACACACACACATTCCCTCCACTTAAGCGTTGTTTTTAAGGGTTGTCCATCTTGGAAATGTCTTCTATGTTTGATTCCTGAAAAGAACAAGTTAAGAAATATGTCAAGGAGTTTGAGTTGAAATCTAAAACATGCCTTAAATATCATGACTTTTTTTTCCATAACCCTGCGATGGATACTAAGAGCCGTATAGAAGGGCGGGGAGACGTAGTGAAAGTAATGATGGAAACCTCTCGGAACAGATTAAGGATTAAGAGACGGGCTGGTTGGTCAGTTCTTCTGGGTAATGGGGGTTTTGTCCGTGATAAAGAGGTGTCAACATTTATGAGTAAATTCTGTCACATGGGAATTCATTTCAGAGACTTCATACTTAATATTTTCAGACGAGGTATTTGTTTTTATAGAGATACTACAGTTACTATACCATACATAAGACGTAAAAATCTTTTGCAGTAGGCTTATTAATGAGTTTCTTTGTTGTTATTTTAAAAAATACACTTGCTCTGACAAAAAAGAAAAGTCGTTTGCAAGTAATTAAGACTTAAGTCGACAATAGACTGAAGTACTAAATATACCTTGAGATGGAGTATATAATGTTGCTCTGGGAAGGTCAGACTGGTGACCCTCTCGCTGTCCATCCCCCCGTTGCTCGCCATGGCCAGGAATATTAGGGAACTCATGCAGAACGGGAACGTAAACACCGGCAACTGACTCTGCAGGGGAGTGAGAAGTCCATCGTGTATTGTTTGGAAAAATGATCATATAACTTGTTCGACTTGTGGTTGTAAATAACCTATATTTATACTGATGTTATTTCTGGAAGCCACACATTACTCTCTTTTCTATAGTTCAGTTGCTGTAAATAATAAGATTTACTGATATACATCTAAGCGTTCTTTTTCATCACAGCATTTGCATACTCATAAATCATTAAATCAACCAAACACTAATTTTTTTCACACTATTCGCACTGGCGAAAACTCACCACAGCGAAGACCGGTGCAATGGCAGCCTGCAGGAACGTGGTGAAGATGGCATTAACCACAGCCAGGATGAAGAGCCTGCGGGATGGCACCATGAAGAAGAAGAGGCACCCGGCTGACAGGAAGCCGTTGTAGCCCCACACGCCGGCGTAGATCATGGAGTACGGAGCCGAGGACACCAAGACGGCTGGAGGGAAGGTGGATGGCGTTGTGAGGTAAGGTCGTCGTAGTGTGTCTGGGGGTCGGGGGGGGGGGGGGGGGGGGGGACTTCTATTCGCATTTGAGGGTCCAGGAAAATTTGGATTCAATGGAAGTCTTGGTCTGGGGTCAGTTTGATGTTTTGTTAGTGATAAGAAGAAATAAGAAATTAGGGGATAAAGAAGTTTGTTGTATACCATGGGGGTTCAGTAACCGATAATACAAACGACCTCTATTTTAATTATGAAATGCTAAGTGAAAACAAATGCCAAGGAGAGTGCATCCCAATGGATCGATCCTAAAAGATAACCTTTTTCTTGGATTCCGAAGAAATTTTTAAGTAAGTCTGATATCGACCTGCACTACAAAAATGAAAAAGAAAGAAAGAAAGAAAAAAGAACAACTACCAAACCCCGTTTAATCTACTTACAAGAACAATTATTATTTTTACTTTTCCCTGAAATCATTTCATGTCAATCGTTTAAGGATAACTATCCTGTGTAATCCATATACAGCAAACAAAAGAATAATCACCCAGAAATAAAATCAGTAAACATCACTTGGATCAATCACCCCACTTTGAGACAAAAAATGAGAAAAAAATCAGTTATTTTTTTTCAAACATCCCTTAAAAATCCAAACCAAAAAAACGTAATAAAATAAAACCCAAAACAACCACGACCATTACCCGTGCAAGAGGCAAAGAAGCCCCCGGCCACTGAAATCACAGTCAGAAGCGGCGAACACAGGAAGAGCCCCGCTATGATGAGGCAGGACCCCGTTACGGTCTCCACGGCGTACACCTGCCCGACGGAGAGCAGAGACCCGCGGAGCACCTGTTGGGCAAGTAAGGAATCGTCGATTAATTTGATTTGATGAGTGGAAGGGAGAGTTTTATATGTGATGGGTATAGGGATAATGGTGATACTAATGATGCTAGTATGTGTAGTTATGATAATGGAAGTAATGTAATTGTAATCTTAGTTATAACGATAATGCTTATGCAATAAAGATGATAGTGATGATAATGATGACGATGATGCTAATGGTAATGATACTTGTAATTGTCATTATCAGCAGCATGATATTAACAATAATAATAACGGTGATAATGACACAAATAATAATAATAATAATAATAATAATAATAATAATAATATTGTCAATAAAAAAACAACTATGATGACAGTAATAATAACATAAATGTAATGATAGTAATGTTGATCATAAAAATTATAATATAATGGCAATAATAACAATGATAATAATAATAATAATCACAATAAGAATGATAACAATATCAATAATAATAATGATGATAGTAATATAGTAATAATAATAATAAATAATAATAATATTAATAATGATAATAATAATAATAATAATGATAATAATAATAATAATAATGATAATAATAATAACAACAACAATAATAACAATAATAATGATGATAATGATAATGATGATAAAAAGTAATATTCATTATCATGATGATTGTGATAATAATTAACATCAACAATAACAATATCATACTAACAAAGCAACAACAATAATGATAATACTGGTGGCAAAATGATACTGGTTAAGAAAGGAATAATAACGAAAACTGACATACACACACACAGTCACTCACAAAAACACAAGTGTACACTACAAATTTTTCCTTTGAGGGTTTTTAGGTCGTATGTGATCTCATAACAATTTACAAAGTGAAAACCTTTCTTTATCCATAAAAAACGAAGAACCTTTTCCACTCTTCCTTCCCTCACGAAAACTGACTAATACAACCCCCCATCCTCTCCTCCCCACTCTCATGAGTTGCAAAGATCAACCGAGCCTCTTCCTCAGCCGCCTCCCTTGTCCCTCCACCGCCTTTAGGACTTGTGTCACCCGCTCTCTTGATCTAGAATTGTAATCCTTGTATTCCATATTTAGTTAACAATATCTATATCATTTTATACACTGTTACTGCTCTCGTATAATCGTCATTGTTGTGCAAGTCCTGCTTCCGCCCCGGCTGCGAAAGGACCGATAGCATGCGAAAGCCAAAACAAGTCGGGCATCTCTGCCGGCCTCCCCGACGTTCGGCCTGTCCGTCTCGACATATCTTCCGTTACTTGTTATCTCAAACCTCCTTCCCTTTGTCTAGATTTGTATAAAAGCCATCACCTATGCTTGAGACAGTCAGACTTTACACCCCACCTCAAACAAACAGCCTAAGACCCTTCACTATGCAACAACCCCATCGACCTCCCACAGATTGACCTGCACTTCTCTCGCCAAATAAAATCTTGCAAGAAGAAGGCCGTCTCTTGCACCTTACGCCTTGCTGGACGCCAACGCCTGTCGGACTCGCTCTGAATTTGTACATTCAACATATCGGTCAAGCCTGCACATCCCGTGCATTACCTGTATCCACTGAACCGCCTCCGACACGTCCACCTGCCCGCTGGCCTCCTCCGGAAGCCCCGCCAAGCCGTGCGCGCGCATGCACATGAAGGCGATGGAAGTTGCAATGTTGAAGGGCAGGGTGAAGTATGGCAGTTTGAATGGCGACAGAATGGAGCCAAGGCCCGACCCTATGCACACACTAAGAGAGGGGGAAATGGGCGAGTGGATAAATGTTCTTTGGTGATCAGGTAAATGAAAAGTTTCATATACTGGCATTTTAAGCGTGTTTTGTATCGCTGTTGTAATGAAGGTATACACAGTCAAGAATGCATAGTACCTTATCATGTATATAAATGTGCGCTACTGCGTTAGCTGCAGTAATAGCAATAACAATGATATAACAACAGCAATAATAATTATGATGATGATGATAATAATAATAATAATAATAATAATAATAATAATAATAATAATAATGATAATAGTATCAATAGCAGTAATAATAATAACAATACTACTACTACTACTACTACAAATAATAATAATAATAAAGATAATGATAATAATAATAATAAAAATAACAACTTCAACAACAACAATAATAATACTATAATAATAAAATGATAACAATGATAATAACATCAACTACACCAACAATAATAATAATAATAATAGTAATAATCAAAACAACAAAACAACAATTCTAAAAGAAAACCAACAACGCGCACTCACTGCTCACCTGAAGACGGTCGCAAGCAGCATAAAGCCCCAAACGGGTAAGGTCAGGGGCAGGTGGAAGAACACAGGGTATAACGAGGCTGTTACCGTACCCACTAAAACGGCGCTGTAATTGGTGAGTCCAGAGGCAATGGCTCCGGCTGGCTCTTGGAAGGCCTGCGAAGAGGGAAGATGGCGGGTTATTTTGAAAGGAAGAGGATGTGATGGTTTGGTTAGAGGAATGGGTGGGTGGGAACGAGAGAGTGGGGAGGGAGGGGAGGTGAGTCATAGGTCTGAGGGATGAAGAACGAGGATATTGAAGGTGGAATGGCTTTCGTGAATGAATGAGGGGATAGGAATAATGGAGTTATAGAGGTCTGCATGTTTGCATAAGGACACGAGAGGAAAAAGTACAGATCAACAAAGTAAAAAAAAAAAAAAAAAAAAAAAAAAAAAAAAAAAAAAAAAAAAAAAATCGAAACTGAAATCCTAAATTTTCGTTTCCAAAATGTAGTAATAGCCGCTTGGATAATATTACTAATATCGGCTGTATGCAAGTTAACATATTTATAATGAGGCCCAGTCGCTAATATTTACCGCATTGATAAGGATAACAATCTTAATAGCCAAGAATTACTTAGGATCCTAATAGCATGAATTACTTAGGATCCTAATAACAAGAATTACTTAAGATGCTAATAGCCAAGAATTACCAAGGCGACGATGACTGCCACCAGAGAACACACGAGCGCGCCGAGACCCGCCATGACGTCACCGACGAAGAGGCCGAGCAGGATGAGCAGCCCGGAGAGAGGGTTGTCGGCGAAGCACACCTGAGAGGGAAGTACGGAGTGGGTGAGTGGCGTGATTTGCATATTGTTATCGTTAATGCGTCTGGTTATCATCATTATTATTACTATGAATAGCATTGTTAGTATTGTTATCATTATTGTTACAATTATTATCATTTCATTATCATTATCATTATTATTATCATTAACATCATCATCATTATCATCATCATCATCATCACCATTATTATAATCATTATCACTATCATTATTATCATCACTATCATTATCATTATTATCATTATTATTACTATTATTGTTATCATTTCAATATTATTACTACTACTGCTGCTACTAAGATTATCATCATTACTAAGACACAACATCCATTCTGTCTCCAACGCCATTATAGTTGAATGGTACTGCGGAGAACAGAGATATTTTTAAACCTTAGATTCACTCACACACATAACAATGAGTTGAGGTAAATAACGAGTATGAATACAAATGCAGGACCTTCATATCTTCTGTAAAGAAGATTAACAGACTTGGAGGTTTAGGCAATGCTATCAGCATTTTATTTATTTTTCCATAGATTCGGTAAGGCTGAATCTAGGATATTAAGAAATAATTACAACGTTTTTTTCTTTCTCTCCACTTCTTCTATAGATCAAGAAGTTCTAGGGTACCCATTATGTATTTTTTTTTCAAAGTATCATATGGAAGTGGAGAAGAATTCAACAGTGGTTTGAAACTGATTCTATCTTACAGGACGCCATGCGAACCTTACCTTAGTGATCTATCTGCCTCCATAAACCATAATATAGGGTAGTCCGTGATATGAATAAAGATTCTCTTCGCTTTAATCACGAAGCAGCGTTAGGAGAGATAAAGAGAAAGGGAGAAGAGAGGAGAGAGAGAGCGAGAGAGAGAGAGAGAGAGAGAGAGAGAGAGAGAGAGAGAGAGAGAGAGAGAGAGAGAGAGAGAGAGGGAGGGAGGGAGGGAGGGAGGGTGGTGGGGGGGGGATATAGATGAGAGAGAGAGAGAAGGAAAGAGAGGGGATATGGGTGAGACATAGAAGTAAGGGGGGGGGATATAGAAGTAAGGGGGAGATATAAATATATAGAGAGCTACACGAAGAGAGAGGGAGAGAGAGAGAGAGAGAGAGAGAGAGAGAGAGGAGAGAGAGAGAGAGAGAGAGAGAGAAGAGAGAGAGAGAGAGAGAGAGAGAGAGAGAGAGAGAGAGAGAGAGAGAGAGAGAGAGAGAGAGAGAGAGAGAGAGAGAAAGAGAGAGAGAGAGAGAGAGA